CTTTTGTTTGTCACTAGTCCATTCTTTCATCTCAGTAGTCCTTTAATTGCTTTGTTTGACCCCCAATTTCTTGAGATACCAACTTGTGTCCCAGGCCACTTCTCTCTCGTCCATGAGAATAGGAACAAGTAGTTTCTGGCCTGGGATAGCAGAGTACAGTGAGTGAGAAGTGGTACTTGGATGCCTCATCTGGGTTGTGGAGGTAGAGAAGAGGTGCTACTGCTTAGGGGAGTTGATTAGAAATCCTGTTCAGGGCCACCATGAAGGGGACTACAGGTTTCACCTGCCCGAGGGCTATACGTAAGGGGATATGATTTATGTCCCAGAGAGAGCACAAGTAGACAGGTGTATTCCAGGTTTCCTAGCCAAGTCATGGAGTTGCAAAAGAAAGTTCTATTTACGTAAACCCACTGACATCCACAGTATGGATACTCCCTTACCTCTGTGTATGCTGGTAACCTGATCCTAAGAGTCCCTTGAATCAGTTCCCATCCCTACAGGACTCTGGCCCTGGCACAGTTCCCTCAATGTGTGTGTGTGTGTGGTGGGGGGTGTGCACCACTGTGGCGGCTAAGGGGCATGAGAGCAGTGGACAAGTCTGTGTTCAGCCAGGTGTGCTGCCCACCAGAGTTTCAGAAGGCTCCTTCAGACAGAACTCTTCACACTGTGCGATATGTAGTAACCTTAAAATAGTTGCACTTGAGGAAGGGCTGCCTTTTCCGTTTGCAGAAAGGCATGTCTTGAGCCGACAGCAGTCTTGCTTGTACACAGCTTGGTGCAAATGTACTGCAGTGAAAATGTGCCCCGAGGGTGAGGGCCCAGAACTAGGAGGACATGAGATTGCCAATGACTTTTAGATTCTTCAAAATGTGGCCTTTGCAAGGACACGCTTGGGCTCCATTTTCACTTCCGCTTCCCAGCCCTTATTCTAGGCTTGCTACTTTTCCATTTAAAAATTTTTCATTTTAGAAATGAAGACAATTGAGGCAGACTCACTTTGTGAACCTTATATGATTTAGGGGGCCCTTCTTAAAAAATATTTAAAAATAGGTTCTTTGGCAGATTTCACAAGTACATACAACTATGTTCATGCATTGGAAAAAGAACATCCTGGGTAAACAGCATAACCTCTCCAGAGAAATAAAATAATTCTGCATGGTCTCTGGGGATAAGGAGACTACAGACGGTGATGTGGAGTGGCCCTGACATTCAGCCTTGGCTGAATGTGAGAACTATATGGGGAGCTTCCGATGCTCATGCTTGGATTCCACCCCCAAAGGTTTGCTTTCATTGTTATGTGGTGCAGCCTGGCCAGTGAGGCTTTTTAAATCTCTCCAGGTGATTTAAATATGTTGTCAAGGTAGAGAACACTGATCGGTTCTTGTTCATTGGTTCTCCATCGTCTGTGTGTATCAGAATCACCTGGAGGTCTGGTGAAAACTCTGGGCTCCACACCTCTAGTTTCTGATTCAGTAGATCTGTAGTGGGAGCCAATAAATTCCATTCCTTACAAGCTTCCAGGTGCTGCTGATGTGCAGGTCTGGGACAGCACTTTGAGAACCACTGGCCTAGCCAATGTGGCTAGCATATGATGCTGACTAAACCCCAAAAGTCTATCCCTGGAGACAGAAAAACAGGGCAAGGCCTTAAAACACGTTTAGAAAAATAATTGTCTCAAATGTAAGCGCAGGTGGTAATATGTATCAAACCCTCAGCATGTGACAATGCAGGGCAATGTTGCATGTGGATACAGCACATTTAACACCTGAATAACACACACCATCCCACAGGCCACCCAGGCTTTTGATCATTCCTCTCACCCCTAGATGCAGAAGGGCAGAATATTTTCCCAATTCCAAAACTTAGCTGAAGCAATAGTTCTTATATGCTGAGGTTGGAAGGGGAGAATTTGCTGTTTATTTCATGTATATAGCTCTCCTCAGCCCCCAAGTTTTAAGCAACTGCCCATTGTGGAATCTTTGTGGGAATAAGTGCCGTGTCTGTGGCAGAGAACATCTAGATGTCCCTTCTGCTCAATCATTGCCTCTGGTTAGGGGAGCTCAGGCTGGTACTTTGCTAGCTTTGATGTTTCCTGACCTGTTTCTAATTCTGATCCTTCTTTCTGCCTCCTTGTGCCTTACCTATATGCCCCCGATCTCAGTCTGCTCCTTGCTGCCTTAGCAGATCTCCCCAGGATTCTCCCATGTCTGTTTCTCTTTTATTGTCACAATAGTGTCAAATTCACAACACATCTGTCACCAGATTGGTGTCCTACAACTCAACTCAATTCTGACACTGTCAACCTAGAGATAGTGTCAAATCCCACAGGTTTAGGACTCAGTCCCACAAGACTGAACCCCCAACCCGCTTCAGCTACCAACCACAAGTCCAGATTGTCACCTGTGCTTCTGGAAAAGGGCTTGGAGCTTCCATGCATTCTCCAAGTGTGCCACTTTTCTCAAATCTGTACAACCTGGAAGCTCTGTAGACCCTGTTCTAGGTTTTTATAGAGGCTTCATTACATAGCCATGATTAATTAAATCATTGGTCATTAGCAGTCAATCAACCTCCAACCCCACGCCCCTTCCTAGAGGTCCCTCTGTAGGGCTGAAAGTTCTGACCCTCTAAATCCCATGATTGGTTCCTCTGGCAACCAGCCCCCATCTTTATGTAGGGTCCAGATGTCTCCTCATTAACAGAACAAAAGACATCATCATTTTCATCACTTAGGAAATGCCAAGGTGTTTAAGATAAAGACCAAATATATATTTTTTTATTATAAATCACAATATTACAGTTTCTCACCATTCTTCAGACCCATGACATCTGCTAGAGCTCTTGTTTTCTGTTGAGATTTGCTATTTGTTCATTATAAGCATTTTTTTCCTTTTATATAAACAAGGTTGTAATAGCTGTTTAAAAACTTTATTCCCTAATTTCAGCATCTAGTTCATCTTTTGATTGATCTCAATTCTTTAACTTTTTTTTTGAGTTGGGTCATGTTTTCCTATTTCTTATGTCTAGTAATTTTGATTTATATCCTGGATGTTGTGAATGATGCATTCCGGAAACTGTGGATGCTATTATATTCTTCCATAGACTATTGGTTACTTTTTGTTTGTAGGCAGTCTTAAAGAATTCAAACTCAAAACTTTGTCGTCCTCAGTTGCAATTTCTATTTCATTTATTTCATCTTAACTGGGCTCTTGAGGGTCTGCTTAGTGCAGGAGTCTGACAGAAATTTGGACAGTTTATACACAGATTTGGGGCCACTCTTCCATGGCTTTTGGTCATTTTCTCCCTCACCTTTCAGCTACTGGAGTAGCCTCTGACTCCTCTGGTTCTTCAAGAAAGCAACACTCAGTTTCTATAAGTTTTAGCTGCCCCTTTATTGTGGAGATTGTAGCTTGTCCTTAGGCAAAAGCTATAAAATGAGAAACTGTTGCATTCTTTCAGATGTTGAACTTCCTGCAGCTTCTACCTTCCTTTACCCCTTCTCCAGTGCCTGCAGGTAGTCTTTTGTTTTTTGTTCGCTTTGTCCAGAGTTTATAGTTACCTGTGGGAAGGTTAGTCTGATAGGAGATACTACACCATTACCAGAAGCAAAACTGACCTGTACTATTTAAATAAGATTTGCCAAGGATCAGAGAAAACTAAGTTGAGGGCTACCTTTACTGAGAGCTGAGCTCAGATTCATTTCTCTATTCTAGTCTGAGTTCACTCTGTCCCCAGAATATAGAGCTTCTGTTCAATTCTGAATCCTACAGGGTCTAAAGAAGGTTGCCAGCTTAAGAAAAAAAAAATTTCCCCTGCCCGCCCCCCCCCCAAAAAACCTTTTATCCTATTACCCAGTGTCTCTATACTTTTTGTCACTCTGACATTTTTGTGTATGTTTGCTTTTTTTTCTCTGTCATCTATCTCTCCTTGCTAGAAAATTAACCTATGGGAACAAGGACATTGCTTGTCTTGTTCATCTTTTTATGCTCTGTACCTCTAAGTCTTTGTACACAGTTGGCTTTCAATAAGTATTATTTAAGTTGGTTAAAGCTTCATAGAACTTTCCTACTGAGTCACAGTCTATTCACCTATCCCTGGGAAGGTTGGAATTAGTTAATACCTCTATATTTGTAACATTTTTATTCCTAATGTAACTGTGTTAACAGCTGCCAATGCCAGATAGTTAGACTTCCTCCTCCCACAACAACACATACCAAGTAGCTAATAATTTGGAAGCTCTCCTAGCAGGACAGCAAATGTCAGTGGAGTACTCTGTGTAAGGTATGAAGCTAGTCCCTGTATATTGCACAAGAGCTAAGGTTCAGAGGGTAGTAAGAAATAAATAGAAAGCAGAGTTCCTGTATTAAAAAAATCTATTTAAAAAATATCTAAAAACATATTACTGAAAACTTTTGACCTCTTTTCTAAACTCGATTTTTCAGCCTGTTTTCAGAGTAATGATTTAGAGAGAAGGGTTATTTCTAGGGAAAATGTTCAGTTGACAAATGGATGACTTTGAGGACACTTTGAGGCTTAACTAAAACAATGCAGACTTAGATCCATTTAGCTAGAAATTAAAATCTTTACTATGTTTTTTTTTTAACTACTTTTAAATTGGGAAATAAGCACATAAACATGGTAACTTGTTTTGACAGTGCAAATTAAAAATGTAAACATTTTCCCAGCTTTGTAGCTCCCAGGCAACCAACCACCTTTAACAGTATTTAGGATACTCAGTCTTCTATGTACGTGTGTATACATGTATACCCTTACCCTTTTTGAAAAACATAGGTGCATGCTGTACACATTTGTGCTCTGTACAATGCTTATATATATATATTAGCCCACATAGTTATGCTTTTTATGACAGTATAGTATTTCATTACACAGATATCTTACAATGCATTTAACTAGCCCCCTGTAGAACATTTTATGCTGAAAACAAAGTGATTTGAGGCTGGAAAAATATCTGTCGTAGTAGTAATGAAAATTATTTTTTGCAGTGTTTTTGGTTACCTTGACAACCTGAGACATCTTCAAATGCCATGACATCTCTCAGAATGCCATTCTTAGAGGTAAATATATGAGTAAATGAGACAATTAGAATTAATGAAAAGACTAGATCATGGACTACTTAAAATGATTTCATCTGGGGAACACTTTTATTATTTGTTTCTTTAGGCAGTTGAATTCTCTTTGCACATCAGTCATGTGCAAAGTACTTTTGCTACAAAGTAGTTTTAAATGATCTTATTCAGGGAGAACTTTGGTGGTGCTAGAGTAGAGCTGAGAATTCTCTATCTTGACATTTTTAGATTGTTTAAGGTTAACCCACTAAGTAACACAGTGCTGACAAAGTCACTGAAGTGGCATGCAGTGTCAGCTGTGCTACAATGCTTTCTGAATGACATCTTTTTTACCTGTCTTTAGCTCTGAATGATGTAGCACAATTTGATTTACCTAATTTGATACATGAAGTTCTTTAAAATAATAATTAGGGATAAGAATACAGATTGTTTTGCTGCAAAGTATGTTTGAATACATTAGAAATGCTAATTAGGTCACATGTGATTGGTACATGGAGGAATGATGTCAGTAGAAAGAGTAAGTTGTATTATTTCAAAGGCAGTTTCCATCCGAATAGGAAAATATATTTGTAAGCAACACCTCTGATAAAGGCCTAATATCCTAAATGTACAAAGAACTCATACAACTCAATAACAACAAAAAAACAATCCAATCAGAAAATGGACAGAGGACTTGAACAGACACTTCTCCCTAGAGGACATACAAATGGCCAACAAACATATGAAAAGATGCTCTACATCGCTAGCTATTAGGGAAATGCAAATGAAAACCACAATGAGATACATCTCACACCTGTTATCATCAACAGGACAAGTAATAACAAGTGTTGGAGAGGATGTAGAGAAAAAGGAATCTTCATACACTGCTGGTGAGACTGCAAATTGGTACAGCCACTATGGAAAACAATATGGAGGTTCCTCAAAAAACTAAGAATTGATCTACCATATGACCCAGCAATCTTTCTCCTGGTCTACCATATGACCCAGCAATCTTTCTACTGGGTATTTACTCCAGAGACTTGAAAACTCATATCCAAAAAGATATTTGCACACCGATGTTCATAGCAGCATTATTCACGGTGGCCAGGACATGGAAACAACCAAAGTGTCCTACAATAGATAATTGGCTAAAGAAGCTGTGGTACATATATACAATGGAATATTACTCAGCCATAAGAAGAGATGAAATACTGCCATTTGCAATAACATGGATAGATCTTGAGATAATCATGCTAAGCGAAATAAGCCAGACAGAAAAAGTTGGAAATCATTTATATGTGGTATATAAATCTAAAAGCAACAAACATGACAAACAGAGACTCATAAACAAGGACAGTGGATGAGTGCTTACCGGGGGTGGGGGGGGCGGTTGTTGGAGTAAAAGGGGTCAAATATATGGTGACAAAAAGAAATTTAACTATGAGCAGTGAACACACAATGCAATACACACACACACACACACACACACACACACACATATATCTACACACACACACATATATATGTGATTTATTGTTGAATTGTACACTTGAAACTTACTGGATTTTGTTAACTAATGTCACCATAATAAATAAATAAATACCAACCCCCCCACACCAAAAAAAGGCAGTTTCCGCACCATGTTAATGTTTTCTTATGCCAAGTAACTGGAGCAGAGTACAAAAAAACTAACACAGCTGAACACATCTAGGTGTGGAGGAATAAGCTACCGTCCATGATGCCTGTGCTTTCTTTTGGCTGAGCTTGGCCAAGTGCTTTGTCTTAGAAGTGCTTGGGTGGGAGAATTTAAGACAGAGGATGTCCTTCTTGATCTTTGTGTATTTTGCTTTTATCTCCATGACTTAGTAGCTTAAGTCCTTCCTGCTGTCACTTTTCTTTTTTCAGGTAAAGACCTAATTTAACTATTTTAAAAAAATAATAATTTGGTTTTAACATGCCTTTGCAACTGTGCTAGAGTTTTTTTATTTATTAGGCTTTACAACCCAAATGCTTTATTAGGGTTGCCATTACTTTTGTTATGCTCCGGTTATGATATTGTATTGGTTTGCGCCAACCCTACTTTTCCTATAACCACATTTTTACTGTTTTCCCTTTTAGTGTGTTGTTACATGCTGAATATTTTTCAGGAATATATGTATTATATTGTAGCAGAAATGTTTATATCATAACGCTGAGGTGATCAAACAACCAGTCAGATATCACTTAGAATGTGATCTTGAATAAAGAAAAATATAAAAAAAAAAACAAAACCCCCCCAAAATCCATTTCTTGTTATCTGCTACTTTAAATAAGAATAGAATGGAAAATGTGAAAACTGATATTCATGTTTTTTTATTGAAGCATATAGCCTTGCTATCTTTCTGTTCATTATAATATTAATAATAGCTTTGAATTAAAGGATAGAAGTCTTCTCCTGGGACTTCTTTCATTGCCTTGTTAGGTGTATATTTCCAGCCTTTGAAATGATTTGTTATTTCTGCATGGAAACACTGTGTGCTGCTTCAGTCACATCCTCAGTATTAACCCACATATTTCTCAGCTTTTATTAAATTTATTGATTGGGTATGAAACCTGAATATCCTTCAAGTATTCCTGCCTTCACAATTTCTTTTCCTGTAATCCATGCAAAAGCCTGCAATTTTTTTATTTTTTATTTTTTAAGTTAGAAGAGACTTCTGGAAATTGATTGTCAAATTCTCTCTCAATGTTTGTTAAACCTACGCCAGGGCACTAATATGCTTCTGAAATCCCTGATTTGCTTCACCATTTCTACAGAATTAGAATTTCTAAGGATTTAGAACTTAGAATTTCTAAGGATTCTAAGATCTTTAAGGGCAGAGACCAGTTATTAATATGTTCTTAGAAAGAACACAAAGTATATGTTTGTTTATCAAAATAAATGTTGACTAGATTCTGGCACTCAGATTTAGTTCATAAAAGACCATTCAGATTCTAGGTACAGAGAGCATGAAAAATGTGTCTTTTATGTTATGATTTAAACGAGCTTTTTCTAGGGCCTGCCTGTCGGAGATCCTTTCCTGAGATTTGTGTCCATGTGGACTTTTCATGTTCTGTGTAATGCACTTTTCAAAGTCTATTTGAATGCATTTGGGTCAGTAGAGCCCTGTAACCCCAAAATTAACCTGCTCCTGTGCCTTTCTTTCTGTTGTATTCATTACCTGCTTTTCTACCCTGACCCTATACTAACCTGTGAGTCTGTATTTGCTGTTTGCTTGACACTCTTCACACGTGTTTGTAACCTTGGCTTAGCTTGTTAACCTGAACTGATTTTCTGTTTCTGGTTTGAATCATGCTTGCTACCTGGAACCCAATCTCTCAGGCGTCTGACGTTAATCAAGTAACCTAGTCTTTCTTTCTGCTTTCTGTCCTTTTCTGTTGTTAGGTTCTAATATTTTCACCTTGGATGAGTCTGACCTCAGTTAATCCTACTTTTGCTAATCAGTAAGAATTGCCCAGACCCAGACTCTAAGAGGTTCTGATGATAAAGTTTAACACTGTTCACTAATTGTTAGTGTTCTAAAATATTAATTCCTACCAGGTCCAAAAATATGATGGTACTTATTATAAAAGCTATGTAGCACTTTCTCATTAATAACTTTGCTTTCTTTTTCCTGGCAGCATTTGATGCTGCTTGACTGTGCATGACATGGTTGTCCAGGAAGCATTGGTTTGAGAAATGATTCTGTGATGATTCAGTTTGTCTGTTATTGAAATGTTTGTTTTATCCCAGACCGAAAAGATTACCCATAAAAGAGCACTCGGATTTTCCTTATGCTTCAATTCAAGGCACCAGATTTACTTTTGCCTGCTATGATAGAAGTTGGTAAGCATTGCCAAAGTTGAATGTCACTGGCATATAAAGATTTATCAAGAGATAAATCAAATATAATTACAAAATGATCAGGTTTTAGAGTCAAGAAATCCTCAAGAGAGCATGTCACAGCCAGCTTTGTTTTACAGACAGCATGAAAGGCCTAGACAGATGAAGTGAATTACCCAAGATATAACCCAGAGCTAGTTGATAAGGAGCTTGGACCAAGTCAGGTTTTCATAGTGACTTGACTATTGTGTATAGCTAATTGCTTTTCACTGCATGTGTTATATATTAATGGAACCTAACTTTAAAATAAGCAAAACACAAGGAGCAGAGTGCCATTTTTTTAGAAATTACAATTGCCTTCCTCCGCTACGTTGACCCATAAAGGATCCCTTGCCTTCTTGTATGTAGTGGATAAAACCACAGTAGTCTCTCCTTATCCATGGCTTTGCTTTCCATGGTTTCAATTACCTGTCCTCAACCTCAGCCTGAAAATATTAAATGGAAAATTCCAGAAATAAACAATTCATAAGTTATAAATTGTGCACCGTTCTCAGTAGCATGATGAAGTCTCCTAAGTTATATCCTTTTATAATAAATTGGTAATCTAGTAAGTAAAATGTTTCTTTGAGTTCTGTGAGCCACTTTAGCAAATGAATAGAATCCAAGGAGGAGGTCATGGCAACCTCCAATCTGTAGCCTGTTGGTGAGAAGTGCAGGTGGCAATTTGGATTTGTGGTTGGCAACTGAGATGGTGGGGGTGCAGTCTTGCAGGACTGAGCATTTAACCTGTAGGTTCCTATGCTATCTTCATGCAAATAGTGTCAGAATTGAGTTGAATTGTAGGACTGGATCCAGCTGGTGTCGGGAATTGCTTTGTATGGGGAAAACTGCCACACACATCTGAATTGGAGTCAGAATTATATGAATGTATCAACTTTTTGTGAGCTTTTTGTGAGTTTTCACTCTCCAAGTCAATAAAATGAGAGAGTCAATGAAATAATCTGTAGAGTTCCTCTCAGCTCTTTTGCTTCTGGGCTCCAAGTATCCACATAGTGTGACTGTAACATTACAAGTAGCCATGCTTTGGTTCCTCACGTCCCACCTGTTAGGATTCTTCTCAGCCACATAGGCAAGATTGGTAGCTTCC